TTGAGATACTGCATTAAAAAAAAAATCAAAGGACAGTAATTTGCTGAGATCAGTTGGGGTGGGGGGTTGGCAGGTCCTGGTGGGGACAGGGCAGGGTGGGGGCTGGCCAAGTGTCTGGGATCTGGTGGAGGATGGGTGGGCAGGCAGACCCAGGCTCCTGAAGCTGGCAGGGGGCATGAAAGGAGGTGCCAAAGAGTAAGGTCAAGGTACTATCAGAGTTCAGGGCTGGGCCCAGGGTGGACCCGGTGTTCACGGAAGTGAAAGCGCGGGAGAGAGCGGTGAGGGTGTGTGTGCAGAGGGTGTGTGCCCCATGAGCCCCACAGACGTGGCAGCTCCGGGTAGGGGCTGAGCTGGGGCAGCAGGCTCTCCTTTGCCCAGCTGGCCGCCAGTCCTGAGGGAGCCTTGCGCCGACCCGGACAATGCATCAGGTATACTCTCCCGGACTCACCCCCTCCTGCCAGGCTGGCCTGACTCCCAGCAGGGGCCCCAAGCCTGTCACCAGCCTGCGCTTCCGTTTTTCTGCCTGTACAACCGGAGCTGCTTCCCCGCCCCTGCCCTGGGGGCTGTCTGGCCTGAGCCTCAGACAGCCTCAGACTTTCAAGCGGGGGTGGGTATTGCTTTCCACATGCGAAGGGACACGTGTTAGGGATGGGAGGGGGTGGACAGTATGACTGAGGAACTAAAGGGAGTGGGTTTGTCCTGAATGCCTTTCCTGGACCTCAATTGCCTACCCATGGGGAGGGCCAGGCTGAGGGCTGAGGGTGAGAGGAGGGGCTCCTCCCCAGAGGGTCTGCTCCTGATGGTCTAGCTGAGGAAGGGGAGGCTAGACAGAAAAAGTTTCTTGAGCCTGTGGTGAACTTGGCAGCTCTGGGATTTACATTTTGGAGGCTTGCTACCTTCATGGCAATCACCCCACCCCCACTCAACACTTAGCAGGTTGGAGACAGACAGGTAGGGATCGTGACCTCCAGCTTTTGGCAGAAGAACGCTGGGACCCTGAAAGAGGCTGGCATGAGGTCTCCTCAATCCATCCTGGACAGAGCCAGGAATCCACACAGGGCCCTCCTCTCCAGGCCCCTGAACCTGATCCTGAGACCTGGGGGGGACATTATAGGATGAGGTATCCCCTTTGCCTCACCCCAAGCTTCTGGGGTTCATGTCTCCTCTTCCTCTCTCCCTCCCCCCGGGTACCACCCCTCCGCTTTCCATGTGAGTCGAGAGTAGTGAGCACCTAAGATGCTGGACACAATGACTCCCTTTTCCCTGGATTTGAAGAAACAGCCGCTCCCTGCCCACTGGCCAGGACGTGGGACAGCAGCCCATAGTGCGCTAAGATTCCTGACCCAGGACATAGGATTTATTTAGGAATTTTGCTGGAGACCTGGGAAGAGAGAGCAGTAGGAGGACTTGGGGGGCCAAACTCTACATACCAGACTGTAATGAAGCCTCCTCTTTGTCCCTTTCTGAGTGACTTTGTCTCCCTATCTCTGTTTCTTTTCTCTCTGCCTCTATCTCTCTGTATCTACCTTCGCTTCTTTCTTTCTACATCTCTCTTTTTTTCTCTTTGTATCTTTCTCTTTCTCTCTGTATCCCCCCATCTGTCTTTTTCTTTTATTCTCTCTATTGCTATTTGTGTGTTTATCTATGTTTCTCTGTCTTTCTGTTCTCTCTCTTTCCATGTCTTTATTGTCTCTCTTTCTTTATGTCTGTTTCTCTCTCTATCTCTCTCTCTCTGAGGCTCTCTGTCTCTCTCTCTCTCTCAGTTCCCTTTGGGTGTCTGTCTCTCTCTCCTTTGGTCTTTTTCTATGTGTACTTGCTCATGTCACCTTCTCTCTCTGCCACTCCCCTCCCAGGCTGGCCACTATCCCTGGCCTTCAGCTGTGAACAGCTCAGCGGGGCAGGAGCCCCAGAGGCAGCTCCCAGAGGTGCTGAGCGGGGCCTGGGAACCACCTCAAGGGAATGGGCTGCCCCTGCTCACCGTCATCGTCGCTGCCTTTGTCCTGCTGGCAGTCTGTATCGTGGTGGCAGTCCACTTTGGGCCAAGGCTACACCAGGGCCATGCCACTTTCTCCACAGAACCACCAGCCCCAAAGCCTGAGGGTGGCATCTACCTCATCCGCTGGCGAGTGCTTGGCCCTCAAGACAGTCACGAAGATGCCCAGCAGGGACCTCCTGTCTCTGGCTCCTGCCTTGTGCCAAATGGGCCTAGGCTCAGCATTGATGAAGTCACATATCTGTAGGAGGGAGACTTTGGAAAGTTGGCCTGACGTGGCTCAGAACAAGAAACTGGACAGAGAATTAGGTCAAAAGCTTGGGGCCTGGGCTTCAGAGCTTTGGAAGGGCACACGTGGACTCAGCACGAGCTGCCCTCTCAGCAGAATATTTATAGAGAAAGCCCTGTGTGGACAGGAGAAATAAAAGAAGCTTGAGGGCCCTGCCCAGAAACATGCTGCCGTGAGCATTCCCAGTGCCCAAGGCTGCCCCTACAAAGCTACTTTCCTCTCTTCGGGGACCACCAGAGCCCTGAACCTCCTTCTCTGAGTCCCTCCTCCCTCCTCCTACCCCTAATCTCCTCCCTTTTTGGTGTCAAAGTGAGTCCAGCTTGGAAGATTCCATCACCAACCCCACCCCCGTGCAGGGGTGTCAGAGGTTCCCTGTAGAGGCCTTGCCCCCACAGTCCCCAGGTCCCGTGAAAGCCAGCCAGGGAGAGCCAAGGTAAAGAACCCAGGGGTCTGCCGTCTTTGGGACTCAGGAAAGAAAGGAAAATCTGTTGCACTTCACTAATTGGGGAACATCCCTTTGGCTGTGAGGGCTCAGGCCTTGTCAACACTTCCAATGCCCTTGCAAAGCCCCAAGTACCAATTATAGCTCCCCAAATTGTTTTTAAATGGCTCCCACTATCTTGGCACATGACTCTGCCTTGCCTTCCCAGGATGGGATGGGGGAAATCTGGAGGCTCCCATTACCTCCCACTTTCTATGCGCATGGGCCTGTTGGAACCGATCTAGAATTTATCCTAGGAGATTTCCCAGATCCAGAACCTTCCAGCTGGTGGGAAAACAGGAAAGGAAAAGGAGCTCCATGGAGCTTGTCTGAGGGAAGGAAGAAGTGGGGAGAGGACCTGCAGGCAGAGGGACATTGAGGTTGGGAAGATGCAGGAGGCCAGGAAGGCAAAGCTGAGCCTCCCAGTGGCTCTCTGGAAAGGCACCCCTTTCCCTGACACCTCGAAATGTCACTTATGTGCAGTCAAGAACATGCAGATCGACGTTTATGGAGGGACCTCTGGGTGCTTTACCCTCCGGAACACCTGAGGGCAGCAAGTCAACCCTGGGGCCTGCCCTCAGTGAGACCCCAGCACAGTCAGGGAGGCTGGGAAATACCAGAAGATGAAGAGGAACAGAGGTTGAGATTGTAATGTGTGCAGAGGACTGGCTTGCTTCCTTTGGGACTGGTGAGAGGCAGCTATAATGTTAATAGCTGCTCCTTCTTGTAGGCCAGCTATGCTCTGGACACCAGGCTCATCTGTGGACCTACAGATATTGTACTGTGCACTCCTCATAAAAACCTTGGGAAGAGGAGCCACTGTTATCCCCATTTTACAGTTGGAGATATCAAGACACCCAGGTGGACACAGGTACTAAGTGGTGGAGTCAGGATTTGAAACCAGGGCCATCAGGCTCCACATCTGAGCACTATGTTGGGGGCTGGATGCGTGAGGGAAGGTCATGTTGGGGAGGCCTTTGATTTGGGGCTGCTTTCTAGGTGTAGGAGTGACTGGTGTGATGTTGGGGGATCCTCAGGCCTTGGGGGCAGAATGGCTGAGACAGCTGGGGAGAGGAGAGGGCTGTTTCCCCCTTCAGTCCCTTGGTTCTGTCATCCCTGGGGGCAGTCAGTTCCTTCTGGCAAATGTGTGTCTGTATGTGGAGCCTTTCTCACAGTGATGCTGTACTCAGAAATTCATATTGAACATTTGTGATAAAAAAAAAGGTGGGAGGGAGGGAACAAGTCCTGGGTGGGATGGATGGAACTGGTAGAAATGGGTCACCTGCCCTCATAGATGGGGACAGTTTTGCCACTAGAGTATTGTTGCAGCAGCTCAGTTCCTAACAGTAATGGCATAAGATATAGCAGGTGTATTGTAGCCGGCTGTATTGTCCAAGGTCCCCCAGAGTACGTCCATCTCTTCACACAAACCCTCTTCCCCCCTTATCCCTTCGCAGGCTCTCTCATCTAGGGGCATTTATTCAATGGCCCTTGCTCCTTTGGGCAGCCTCTTGCCCAGGACGCAGCTGTGTACCCCTCATGGCATCTGCATGCTGGCTCATGCCCCTCCCTCTCCCCCAAGCTTACCACTAGTGACAAGGACATTGAAAGGGCAGGTGGAGTGGGGAATGCTGCCCAACTCTATGCCCACAGCCCGACTGGTAGGCTCTGTCCCACGACCCCACTGCCCTGTACTAGGATGAGGAGGGGTGTAAGGAAGTATGTCTGTGCAAGCAGATTTGGACATTGTGGATAATAAACGCCAATTGCTTGCACCAGTCAGAGTCCGGCCAGAAAAACATGGCACACTAAAATGGGTAATCAGAGAAGTGTTTACAAAGGGGACTATTTAGAAAGAGCAGGTATAAGGAAACCACAAGTGAGAGTGAGTGCTCCAAGATGAGCATCAAGGGGGAGCCAGCTGCTAGGCCTGAAGGGGCAGGGGGAGGAAGCAGTTAATGGAACCTAGAGATAGACATGGTTACTGAGAGGGTCTCCAAACTATGACTTGCGGTCGAGAGTTGCAGAGAGCCCACAGTGACCTTGATACCACAGGAAGGGAGCTGGGGGAATAAACACCTCAACCTCCTCCTTCCCTCCATTCTCTCGCTGGGGCTCCCCACTGACAGAACATGACCGGAAGCCAAAGGGCAAGGGAACCTGTTGATGTCATCCCAGTGCAGAGGAGGAGGAGAGGGGTGGAAAGTAGGTCCAGAGGGTCCAGTGGAAGACACCTGGCACATCCCTTAAGTTTACTTGGCATTTAGAGTTTACAAAGAACTTCCATATAGTCATAGTTCTCACAACAACCCTGCAAGGTAGGTAGGGCAATGATTATAATCCCATTTCATAGATGAGGACACTGAGGCTCAGAGAGGTGAAACAACTTGCCCAAAGTTATGGGACTCATCTTGAGATGTTAAGTCCAGGGACCTTCTCTGAGAGGTCTCCTGTGAGACAAAATGGCTCTGCTGGGAATCCAGCTGTTGAAGAAAGCCCTCAATCTGGAGTCTTGGGGATGGCTGGGGGCTCAGGCAAGGTGGCCGTGGGCCTCAGAAGATATCCGAGCGGAGTGGGAGAGGCTGTTCTGTGCCACTGATGAGGAGCTCGGGGTCTCGGGACAGCATGGAGGAACTGGGCACCACCAAGGTCCCCGTACTGCCCACAGTAACTTCCCTTTCCTCCTGCCGCAGGTGCCGGAGAATCTCCTGTGACAGGGAGAAGCTGCTTCCCTCTGCAGATTCTGGAACAGAGGTGGGGAAAGTGCAGGGAGTGGAGTGAGGCCCTCACACATTCCCACTCCAACATACCCAGAGGACTTGCTGGGCAGATCCTCCAACCTTCCCTCTCTCCTACCTCCCTGCACCCCCTCCCCACCCCTAGCCATTGGGGCTAGAGTTTCATGGAATCCTAGAGCTAGAAGTCGTTTTACATATAACAGAATTCCACCCTCTCTCTTTTAGAGATGATGCTCAGAGAGGGGCAGAGACCTGCCCAAGGTCACACAGCAAGGGATTGGCAGAGCTAAGGCTGCAACCCCAGTCTCTTGGCTCCTGGCCTGGGACTCATCTGCTTCCTCTGGCATCCCTATTTGAAGTGAGAGGCCCCTAGAGCTCACCTCTTCATGCTCCACCCAGGACCCAAAGCCAAAGAACCCAGAAAGCAATCAAGTGTCCCAAGTGAGGAAGGGGCAGGGCTTGAATGACCACTTGGGAAGGCCCAGGGCATGGTGCTGCCATATCTCCTTCTGACCCTCTGGGCAACCGCTGGGACCCCTGACTTCTCCTGCCCTCCAGCTTATCAACCCCTCACCCTGGTAGACAATGAGGCGACAGTTGTTCTGAGACTCAGGGGCATCTGCCAGGATGTCTCCAAGTGTCTGGCAGAAGAGTTTGGCCTGCTCAATCCGATCCTCTCTGCTAAAGCCAGCTCGGCCATCCTGTGACATGGCAAACAGGGTCTGCAAGGGGGTGGCATACTCCAGGACACAGAAGCCTGCCTGGAGGAGGTGAGAGGAAGATCAGACTCAACCAGGGGCCAGGCAGACAGACTCTGGACCCCAGTGCCACTGCTGGGGCCCTACTCCCTCAGTCTGTAGAGATGGAATCCTGGGAGATGGCTACCCTGATGGGGGTCTAAAGCTGTCTGGTTGGCCTTTGCCTCTGACACCCCATTCCTAAAATCAGGGCAGGGCTGTGCTAAATTTACCCTTCACAGATCTCCTCCTAAGATGCCAGGGCAAGGCCCACCAAGCTGAGCTATCAAGTGCTCCTGCTGGAAACTGAGTCTGGGGGCTGGACTCTGGGGTTCAACCCTGGTCTGAATTTCCTTCCACTCAGATGAAATCCTTCAAATATTCTCACAACCTTCATCTAGGGCAGCTTTATGGTCCAAAGCATGGTATAGTCAGGTTGAAATCATCCACTTTCTTGCTAATTCTCTAAGTCTCAGTTTCCTCATCTGTAAAGTAAGGGGCAATAACAGTCCCTACCCCATGGGGTGGTGGTGAGGATTTGATGAGGTGTCAGATGAAGCACCTAGAATAGCGTCTGGCGTGCAGTAAGTGCTCAATAAATGTACTTATCATTATCATCATTCAGAGCTGAATCTTGCCCAGCCCTGGGACCAATTGGGGAAACTGAGGCTCAGAGAAGGGCAGTGAAATTTTATCAGTGCTTGGCCAGGGGTTGAAGTTCTGGGGCTCTGGGCCTGAGACTCCCCAGCAGACCTCCCTGAAAACTCACCGGCTGCCCGTTCTCCAGAAGCTGATAGACGCTATTGGTATAAACTCGACCTTTGATGCCAGCACGGTCAGCGCTTTGCTGGGGCAGCTCATGCAGGAAGCAAATGTTGGGGTCAACCACACTCAGGTCATCAGGCACCCCACAATCCAATGGGAAGAGGATGTGCAGCCGATGGCTCCCTGCACTGCATAGTACGTTGTTGTGGAGCTCATTGTAAATTCGGATCCGGGCCCGGAGCCCTGGGTGGAAAGGCCCAAGAAGTCATTCCCACTAATCCTGTCTTCCACTGCACCCAGCACAGAGACCTGGGTCATTGGTCCCCTCAATGTGTGGGTCCAAGAGAATCAAGGGTCCATTCCACTCACATTATCCAGAAGGCCACCAGGGGCAGAGCATCCAGGAACCCTCCCCACCCCTTCACCTACTTCCACCACCCCTCTCTCCCTTCACTTGTCCTTTGTCCAGATTTCTGTGTCAGCCCCACTCCTTCCCACCACAGCTTTCAGGGCTCTGAGAGGCAGGCAGAGCTCTGGAAGGTGACATTCCCAGCATTCTGAGGTGTACTGAGCCAGGCCTTTGGTTTTAGACCCGTTTCTTAGCAGAAGCCCTGGTGTCAAGGGAGGACAGCAATGAGCTATGGGAGAACCAGAGCCTTGGCCAGCAAGTCAGAAGAATGAGACACAACACATGAGCTCACGGTGGAGTGGTCAAGGGTCCAGGCTCTGGATAGACCTGGGTTCAAATCCTGCCTCTTCCTCTTACTAAGCTGTGTGACTTTGGACAAGTCACGTTATCTCTCGGAACCACAATTTTGTTGTCTCTAAAACAGGAGTGATGATTATCCCTTCCTCACAGGGTGTGAATTAAAAGAGAAAATGCACATGAAGGGCACAGAGCATGCAGTAAATATTTATTGAAAGAATTCATGGGTGACCTTGGACAAGTCACTTAATGGCTCTAAGCCCCATATTCCTTCCTGTAAACCAGGCATAATAATAATATCCTTCATGCCTACAAGATTGCTTTGGCAATCAAATGATTTGTTAGACATGAAAATTCTTTGAAAAATATAGCAAGTTCTGGAAACACAAGAGGCCATGTATCTTATTGTCTGTCTTGTAGATCTGGAAATAGGGGCATAGGGGATGGCCCACCTGGTAGGATCAGCCGCAGGTACCCAATATAATAAGACCATGCCAGCCCATGGGCGACATTGAAGTTCCTTTTTTCACAGACTGCAGAGAACTCAGCTGGGGCCAGGCCCTGTGGACAGCAGGGTAGGGCTGGGGAACCTCCATGAAGGACAACCAGAGCCCTCCTCCTCCAAAAAGATTTCCCAGCCTGCTGCTTACTTGCTCCCTTCTCTGCCATTGCTGAACTCACTGTTCCAGGACATCATAGGCTCCAATCTAAGGACCAACCTCTAAACTAGCCCTACTCCCAGTACTGAGCTCAGAGCAGGTCACACTAGCCACAGCCTCCACTTGGCAACACCCTCCACACCTCCCTCTGTGTCATACCTGGAGGCCCAGGAGGATGTTCAGTGCCTGTGAGAGGCCCAGGAGGGCAAGGATCCAAGTGAAGGGCAGGCCATTCGTTTTTGGGAGGAAGCAGTAGAAATAGCAGGACAGTAGCAGCAGGGCCCCACAGCGGATGGGGCAGCCCAGGCAGGCCCGCACAGCCCTCCAGTAGCTGCCCTGGTACCTGCAGGTGACAGCCCAGCCGCAGACTCCAGCCTAGTTCGGCCAGAGAGATTCAAGGAAGGATGGGGCTGGGGTCAAGGGAGTGAGACATGATGGGTGCCCGATTGCTATGAGTACTGCAGGGAGTCACCTGGAATCGATGTGGCACAGCTCCTCGGCCAGACTGCAGGCCCCCTTCAATAGCAGTCCCAACTGCAGGGAGGCTAGGTGGAGCACCAGCCATCGGAGCGTGTGGTCTGGTGGCTCCCCCACTCCCCAAAGGGCCACCAAGCAGGCACCCAGCAGGACCAAGGCTGCCTTCTGGGCCCCGTGACCCCTGGGCTGCGGGATGGATGGGTGGAGGCTGGAGTGGGCCATCTGTGGGTACCAAGAAGTCCACGGCTGTGCTCCCCTCCCTCTCCTACTGCTCTGGGACTGAGGCCCTGGCTGAGCACCTCCCCCAGCTCTCTACCCAGAGGCTGCTCTTGGAGACACCTCTAGGAGACAGGCTGGGCATACAGCATCGCAGAGCTCCTGTCCAGGAGAGATTTGTTGAAAACAGAGCAGGTGGAGAAGTGCATGCACCCACACATATACACCCCACCCAACCCCAGTGAGACCACAGATGTGGTCAAGAAAGAAGGCAGCAACTGTCCCAGACCCAGACCTCAAAGTGTCCTGTGAGGTGCCACCCATCTAGGGACCCGTGGGGACCTGGGCTTCCCTCTCCCCAGAATCCACCCCAGGGAGGACCTTAGTCAGCAAAGCTGAAAACCGCAGTTCAGGGGGTGGGGGCAGGGCAGCCAGAAGGCTGCCATCCACCTCTAGGTCCCCCAGGGCCTCAGCCTTAGAGCTCTGGCTGGGCTGCTCCTTGTCCTACCTCCTACCTGCCAGACCGCAGGTTGTCTCTGGAAGACGACAGGGAGAGAAGGTCCGGTGCAAAGGCTCCCAGCGACCAAGGGCAGCCTCTCTGGGTGCAGCCTGAAAAACGAAAGGTTAAAAGCAATTGAAGCTTTTTCCACAATACTCCAGCCCTGGCAGCTCACCCGACTACCAGTTTAGAGTGCGCTGGGGAGGAGGATATTTCCTGCTCCCCAGGGAGGGAGGAGGAGCCCTCCCACCAAAGCGCTGACGAGCCACGCCCCAGTCTTGGCGTGGGCTGGCGGGAAAAGCTTGGGAAGGCCCTCTTTCCGTTGCTCTTTGCTACCCCAAACCAAGGGTGTTCAGAAACTCCCTAACGCTCCCTGTAGCCACAACCCTGAACACCAGCTTCCCCTCAAACCCCCACGATCAAAACACACTCTACCAACACCCACGCGGGACTGCGCACACTCAGCCAAAGGCAGCACGCACACTACACCATGCTGCCCTGCCTGATTATTTTATTCTGATTTCCAGAGGCAGATCCGCTTTTTCTGAAGACTGTGATATAATGAGGGAGGTGGGGAGAGTGGGCGGTTATTTCCTGTAACAACAGCCTTTCCAGTAAAGGGCTTGGTAGGAGCAGAAAGCCTGCGGAGGGGTGGGGTTTGGGCTCTCATAGGAAATGGCCACGCCTGTGACTTCTCAGAGTGAACCCAGTGGTTTCAGCCAAAAAGGCAGTTGTGTGGATAATAATAATAATAAAGTGCTTACCATGCTCCAGACATTATGCAGAGTATTACATATGTTATTTCACTTAATCCACTCTGCCACCCTGTCAGATAGAAATAATACTATCCCCAATTTACAGTTGGGTAATCTGAGGCTCAGTGAGGTGAATTAACTTGCCCCGGTCCCTCACCTAGTAAATGAGGGAGAGGGGATGTGAAGCAGGTGGGTTGCTCCAAAGCCCAGCTTGCTCCGGTCCTTGATTTCCCAGAAAGGGGTGGAAGATGCCCAGGCAAGTTTCATGTTTACAGTTTCCCATGGGGTGAGGAGTGTCTCTGGCTGCTCCCTGGCAAACTGATAAACTGATAAGATTCCAGGATGGGGCAGACCTGAAGAGTGGGATTGGGGTGGCCCCACAGAGCAGCAGCAGTTCATTCCTGCCCAGGTCAGGGGGCCATTGCCTGCACCCTTCCCCACATCACAACCAGACACGAGAAGACACACAACATTCATAGATGCCACTGGCCTCCCAGGAGCCAGGAGGCTTCCTGAAAATACTCTTGTTTTTGAAAATAATTTCCTAAGAATGGAGAGGATTCCATACACTTTCTCTCCCCTACAATTGGCTCATGAACGGGCCCCCTGAGGTGGGCAAGGGCCCAGCTGCTTCAAAACCAAAGAAAGTCAAAGTGGCCCAAGAGAAGGCCTGAGCAGAGTCCTCCCAGAGTGGGCACTCCATAGCTGCCTCAAGGTCCAGCTGTGCCAAACAGCCTCAGGCCTCCAGGATCCTGCCCGGCTGCCCAGCACTAACTCCTCTGCTGCCAGCTCCACTGCTCCACACTGGTCATCATTTCCCACAACCTGTTCTTCATCCCTGCTCCCTTCTCCTGGAGGAAGATTCTCTATTTTATATGCCTGGTTAGCACTATGCATCAGAAGCCTTAAAAAACACACAGAATCATGGACCTAGCAATCCACTTCTAGGAATCCTTCATCACAAAATAATCAGACAGGGGCCGGCCGGGTGGCGCAAGCGGTTAAGTGCGCGCGCTCAGCTGCGGCGGCCCAGGGTTCGACAGTTCGGATCCCATGCACGCACCGATGCACTGCTTCGCAAGCCATGCTGTGGCAGCGTCCCATATAAAGTGGAGGAAGATGGGCACGGATGTTAGCCCAGGGCCAGTCTTCCTCAGCAAAAAAAAAGAGGAGGATTGGCAGATGTCAGCTCAGGGCTGATCTCCTCACCAAAAAAAAAAAAAAAAAATCAGACAAGAGCACAAAGATGCCCATTTTTCAGATGTTTGTGGCAGTGTGATTTACACAGAGAAAAACTGAAAATTATCTAAACACCCAACAATAGGGGACTGGTTAACTAAATCATGGTTCATCTTAGAGTGGAACGTTGGGCAGCCACTAAAAATGATGGTGTAGTTTTGTATTTATTGACTCTTAAATATGCTTATTGTATATTTCTTACTGGAAAAAAGAAGAGTACAAAACAGTATAATTGCATTTTTTTTTTTAATCTCCAAGTGGGCATTTTATTTATTTATTATTTTTGTGTGTGTGTGAGGAAGATCAGCCTTGAGCTAACATCCTTGCCAATCCTCCTCTTTTTGCTGAGGCAGACTGGCCCTGAGCTAACATCCATGCCGATCTTCCTCCACTTTATGTGGGACGCCGCCACAGCATGGCCTGACAAACGGTGCATCGGTGCGTGCCTGGGATCGAACCCCGGCCGCCAGCAGCAGAGCACGTGCATTTAACCGCTACGCCACAGGGCCGGCCCCCTATAATTGCATTCTAAGACATAGACATTGCATGAAAAAAGGTCTAGAAGGATATATGACAAAATGCTAACAATGATTATTCTGTACAGTGGGAATATGGGTGATTTCTTGTATATTTTCCCCTTTTTGCTGATTATGTTTTCTAGGGTTTCTTTTCCTAACATTGAACATATATTAGTTGTTTGATGCTTACAGTATGCCATAAAAAGAAAAAATCCCAACATTGCCTCCTCCTTGGGGCCTCCTTCTGCTCCCCTCTGTTCTCATGGCCCTCTGCTGCCTGCTGCTGCTCTGGGCTCTTTTTCCTGAGTTTGAACCTGCTCTGAGGCTTTGCAGGAGGCTGTGGGGCCACGTCATTTAGGCAGTAAAAGATGTGGCCTGGCTGAGAGGAGTGAGGAGTGATGGGGGCCAGGGAGGCAGGGAGGCCATCCAGAGGCTGGAGAGTTAGGGACCAGGTCTGACTGGAGAGAAAGGTCCTATAGAGGGGAAGAGGGAGAGAAGGCTGCTGAGGGAGCAGAGGCCCCACCATCTGGGCCTTCCAATGCCAGGCCAGAAGTTTCCACACACCTTTCATCCATGCAGTCCACACATCTGTATGCTGACTTTCTGCTGTGTGTGAGGGACTGTGCTAGGCATGGGACATGCTGGTAAATGTGTCAGGCCAGGCCTTGTTGTCATAACCTACCACTGGGCAGGGGCAATGGGCATTGCATAAGTGTACAAGTAGGTAATTAACTATAGATATGGTGAGAGCTTTGAAGAATGCATTCCTGTTGCTGCTCTGAGGGGAGCCTGGAATACCCAAGTCCAGATTTCCCTGAAGAAGTGCCATTTTGGAAGGAGCAAGAGAGGGACGTGGGAGAAGAGTGCGGGTGTAGAACATTCTGAAAGAACAGCATATATAAGGGCCCTAGGGTGGGAAGGAGCTCGGCCTGTGGAGGAACAGAGAAATGGCAGGTGTGGCTGGAGCATGTAAGCATGTTGGGGGTCTCCATTAAGTCTCCTAAGGCTTCTATAACCAAGTACCACGAATTTGGTGGCTAAAAACAACAGAAATTTATTGTCTCACAGTTCTAGAAGGTAGAAGTCTGAAATCAAGGTGTTCATAGGGCCACACTTCCACCAAAGCCTCTAGAGGAGGATCTTTCTCTGCCTCTTCCACCTTTTGGCAGCCCTAGGTGTTCCTTGGTTTGCAGCTGCAGCACCTGAGTCTCTGCCTCCATCATCACAGGGTTTTTTCTCCGTGTGTCTCTGTCTTCACAGGCATTTCTCCTTCTTATAAAGACACCAGTCATATTGGATTAGGGCCCACCCTAATGACTCATCTTAACTCAATTGCATCTGCAAAGGCACTATCTCCAAATAAGGTCACATTCCCAGGTACTAGGGGTTTAGAACTTTAACATATCTTTTTGGGTGACACAATTCAACCTATAAGAGGATCAGTGGTGTAAGAAGGGGACTGGAGAGTGGGTGGGAGCCTTGTGGGCTGAGGCCAGGGCCTGGGGAGCATCATGACAGCTGCATGGATGAGATTGTCTTCAACTCTCAGACAGACCAGCTGTGCTGATGGGCAGGGACCTTCAAGCTCTTCTAGACTGACCATCTGGCATTCAAGGAGGAAGCTGAGGAGCACAGAGGGAAGTTAGGCCCAAGTTCCAGGCTGCCTGGCTCACTGGCTGCTGCCCTCAGGCCAATGTTGCTGAGTGCCGACACCCTGCTCCACAACCTGCTTGCTCCTGGGGCCTCCTCCTCACTTCCTGATAGTTACTTCTTCTCTCTAGACACTCCGGAAGTTGGTCTGGGATGGCTCTTGTTTCTATGTCTAGCCCGGTTACAGCTCCCAGGGGTCTTCCCTGAAACTCATCATCAGTGTTCCTGGGAGAGAAATAAACCCCTAAGCACTTGTTCAGTGGACACTGGCCCTGGGACAGAGCATGAGTAGGGTAGGAAGGCCTCTGGCCTCTAAGGAGTCACTCTTTTGCCCAGACAATGCCTTTCATGCTTAAAGGTCTCTGAT